TGGGCAGCGGGACCCCGGCGCGGCCGAGGGGATGCGCCTCCGCCCGGCCCGGGCAAGGGGACGCGGGCGAAGCGACGCCGCGTGCCAGGCCGGGCCCCCGACCGCCCGCTGCCGCTCGTCCCGCAGCCCCGCGGTCGCGGAGCGCGGGCAGTGCCGCTGACCGGAGTCGCCCGCTCGGGCCCGGCCGGCCCCGCGGCCAGGGAGGGAGGGAGGCGCTCAGGTACTGGGGCGGCCGCGCCTCGGCCCGAGCCCCCGCGGGGGCCGTCGGGGCGGCCCGGCCTCCCCCCTGCCCTCCCTTCCCTCGGCGTGGAGGATGGTGCAGCCGCCCGCAGCCCCCGAGCCGGGCCGGGGCCGCCCTCCCCGGGGGCTGAGGGGATGAGCCGTGCCCCGCCGGGTGGTCGCTAGCGCAAGGATGACCACTCCCGCCCTGCTGCCGCTCTCCGGGCGGAGGCTGCCCCCGCTCAACCTGGGGGCCTCCGCCTTCCCGCACCACAGGGCTACCTTGAGACTCTCCGAAAAATTTATCCTGCTCCTTATTCTTAGTGCCTTCATCACCCTGTGCTTCGGGGCGTTCTTCTTCCTCCCCGACTCCTCGAAGCACAAGCGCTTTGACCTGGGCTTGGAGGATGTGCTCATTCCCCACGTGGACACCAGCAAAGGGGGCAAGAACCTCGGCGGCTTCCTCATCCACGGGCAGGGGCACGACGAGCACCGGCACAGGTAGGTACCTTGCTCGCCGGCAAGGGAGCGGGACTGGGGAGAGGGAGATCCCTTAAAATAGGTCCTTCCCGTACTGCTGTTCCTCCTCTCTCCGACATCCTCGTGTCTTCCCAACGTGCATCAACTTCTGAGCACTAGCCTGGTGTCCTCCAGCTGCCACATGTAGCTGTGGCTCCATGTTTTCTTTCCCAGTGTGAGTTTAGCCTTCTGGCGAGCGAGAACTGGGAGGATAAATATGAGCTGTCCTCCAGTGACTGATTTATTTTCTCACCCTGGCCAATTCCCTGCATCAGTCATGGAGAGAAGGGGGTTAAGTTATGGCGTTTGTGGAGACAGTATAAGTGACTGAAAAACTGCTGCATCTCTTGTGTAGCTATTATGTACTTACTCAAAACAGCTGCTTGTTGCTGAATAGTGTGCAAGAACTTTGATCTGACAAAGACTGCGTGCTGTGATCCAGAGGCTGTCAGCCTCTGATGAGCAGGACACGGAACTAGTGCACATGGCACAATTGCCTTTTTCTGGCCCTTAAAATCACTTGTCATTATGTTATTCCTGATAATTGAAGTTGCCAGTTGCTGAGTTGCCTTAATTGTATTTGCCAGTGTAAAGAACTTGGAGATAAGAGTATCAAGGTTTAATGTCATACTGTTGATAGCTTTTTGGGGGCCACCTAAAGCTTTGTGTGGTGTAAGCCTCTAAATGCTCATGTGAAGTAAAGCGTTCAAAATGGAGATAAAACCCCCTTAAATTATGGTTATACAGTGTGCTTGCTTCTAACATACTTTAATTGCTTAAATCCTGCCCTAGTATCTAGATCATAGTGAGGCTGACAGATCTCTCTTCACTGTCAAACATGTGCTAAAATATGATGATGGGTGATAAAATATCTGCTCTTCCATACTCAAATTAGTAATACAGTGAAATTTGAAGAAAGGTTACTTATGTTGGTAATGCTCCTTTGAGAACAGTTTAAAATGTATCTTTTTTACGTAAGTATTATTTAAAGGTTATTTGTGCTAGATTAAAAGGAGAGGTTTTAATTGACCTCTTTTTATTAATCTGTTATGAGTTATAAAGAATACCTGAATACTGTGGTATTTTTCCTTAAGGCATCTTTGCTGTCGGATGCCTTAGGCCACTTACATGAGCCCTTTCTCTCTATCTGAAAGGGCATGGATACTTAATATTTAACAAGTACTTATTTTGTCTATGATGTTAATTGCTAGTGTGGTTAAATGTTGCATTAAGGATAAGTTTAGACAGTCTCTAATATGCCTTTGAAGTTCTCGTGTTCCCTGTGTGTGTTTGGTTTTTTTTTGTGATGTTATTTCTTAGCTCCCCTGGTCCCTGTTGCACATTCAGTCAAAATCAGTTTCTAAAATATAGGACAGATGAAACAAAAAGAGAGTTCAGGAATTTTCAAAACTCCAGCTGTGAGTGTTGTACCTTGTGTTGCCCAGTAGATGGGCTGTAGAAAAAGGAGTTAGTTGATAGTGATATTTCATGTGGGTCCTTTACGGGTTCCTTCTTGAAGTGTAATTACTGAGGCCACAGCTTTAGTAATGAAGTACATACGTTTTTGTCTGTCGTGTGTAGATAAGCAGTAACTTAAAACTGTTGGAACTAAATGCATTTTTGGTTGTTCGGGATATGTTCTTAAGCGAAGTGGTTATCCTGTCATCAGTCACCTCTCCTACTGTTCCTCTATTGCTATAACTGTGTGTACCCTGCCCTCCACCCAGAATTTCCCTGTCATGTTCTTTTTTTTTTTTTTTTATGGCCACATTTTGAATTGTTATTTGAGCAAGAATAGATATTGTTCCTGTTGTTTTAGCCCTGCAAACCACTGGATTACTCCGGGCATATTTTAACTGCTTAGAAAGCCTGCCTGCTTAACCTGCTTGTAAGACCCTTGTGTGAATGCCACAAGATGCATTGTGAAGCAAGGTTATGTGCTTTACTTTCAAAACAACTTCTTTGGCTGATTACCATACAGTCTTATCAACAAGCTATTTCCTAGCTTGGAGCTGATGTGGTGGCTGCTTTCCCTAATGGAAAACACTTGTTGCCATTTTCATTATCGAGTTCTTGCTCCTGGGTTGCAGGGACATTGATGGATGGTATTTTGAGAAAGTATAGGGTCTTTGGTGGTGAGTTCTAGATTAGTTGTTATATCTGTTTGGGATGGAAAACTTTGTTCTACCTGCTGTCAAGGAGCAAAGTCATGCGTCAACTACTCTGTAAGTGTTGGTTTTTGGGTAGTGCAGAGGAGTTCTGGTACAAAAGATCAAGAGAAATTACCCTACCCTGAGTACGAAGGAGGATGCAGTCTAAGATGTGCAGTGTGAGGATGGATTGACAAGTTGTATTTCCAGAAATTGAGGGACTTAGGTAATCAGATCAGAGGTCATTCATATGAAGTATACACTTGATCATGAAATGACAGGTGTTTTGATTTAGTCAAAAAAGTGTTTCTTCTGTGAATGCCAGTATTGACCTCTATCAAATGATAAAGTGCTCATATTAAAATGCTGCTCCCTTGGTATATAGGCTATAATAATTTAATGCACATTTTGCCCTACTCAAATTTTTAGCTTTGTAGGCTGTTGGAAAATAATTTTGTTTCTATCTTCTAGCAAAATATAGCAATGCTGTAGGTAGAAAGTTGTCGTGCAGCCATGCTTTAGTGTTGGGTGTACAAACAATGGTTCCCACAGGACCTTTTCTGTATTCCTTGCATTGCTTTCCCACCTTGTCCCTTGGGCACCCTTGACATTCTTGAGTGCTTTTATTATTATTGTTACAGTGGTTACCCCTTGCTGACATTAACTTTACATCTTCCATTAAACTGTTTTCCTTACTGCTCTCGTCCCTTTTTTTGTTTTCCCTTCTAGGCAGAAAAAGGCAGGAGGCGGGGGGGAACCCTGCTCCCTTCCTGATGTTCTTAAATATTTATTCAAGAATTACGGTGTCCTTGCCTATCATCCAAAGAAAGAGACATTTCATGTAAGGAGATGGTTAAAATCTGGAGTACAACTGCAGTTTATATTTTGGGAAATGGGAGGGCTGTATTGCAAGGTGATGATCATTTTCAGCTGCTCATTTCATCGGTAAACTCTTCATGTGCACTTGCAGCATAGTGCATGGGGAATGAGTTAGTAATGTTGGAAAGATGTACCACAAAATTTTGCCTCTGAGGGGAGGGAGAGTGGAAAAGACTAGTCCAGGACTTAGGAAGATATGTGCGGACACACACTTTTAAAAAATAAATTTAATTTCCTGAAGATGAATTTCTCTCCATTTCAAATAGGATATTGCAGAGATTCTGGAATGAGAGCTGCATGGTTTTAAAGATACATCTTGCCAAACTAACTTGAGCGTCACTCAAAATTTGTTACACAGTTCTAGATAACTGTCAGTTATCCCAAACTTCTGCATCTCCTGCCACACAAAAATACTTAAGGGGTTTCTTACTACCCAGTTACTTTTCAGATATCTTAGGTATTTTATTCTTCCATACCAGGCCTAAAAGATAGCTGAGGAACCAAATCAAAACATTCTTATGGCTTCTTGGCATCTAATGTAAATGAGTGAGAATGCAGATGCCCTGTAATCTCCTTGATTTCTCAGATTTTTTGAAAACAGGATTATCTGCAATATAAAAATGGAGGGGACTTGTTTGTTTAATGATGTGTCAAACAGCTGCTCTTTATATTACTTCACAAAAGCTAAGATCATTTCTGTGGTAAAAGTGCATTAATATTAGAGGCAACGAATAATGTAACTTGAGGAGCTCAAAGCAACAAAGCTACTTTGTAACAGCAATTGGACTACTATTGTGCCAACAGTTAAGTCCTTCAGAATTTGCAAAGCTGTATCTTCAGCTGCTAAATTCCTGCGTATTGCTTGAAGTCATACTTTCTGTCTGTGCTTAAAAAACAAAAACAAAACAGCAACCCTCATGTCATCAGGTTGATAGCAGGAGCTGTTAATAGAAGTGATCACCTCAATTACCTTGCCCTCTGTGAGTGAGTAGGTATGATTCAGTTTAAATCATGCTTTCAACTTTGTTTCTGGAAAGCTAAGGAATATTGATTTCCATGTGATGCAAAGATATAAGCTCAGCAGTCTGACATGACCAGTTGAGAGTCAGCAACTGTGTGGCAATAGTCTAAAAGTGCTCTTTCTTCTGTTACTCCATATGTGGTTGTCTCTGACAGTAGCAGCTCCTGTGTCAACTCATAGGAGGTGAAAATAACAAAAATTATTCTGAGGAGCTTTCAGTCTTAATTTTTTCTTTTGAATTCTGCATTTTTTTAAAAAGAAGCAGGAAAAGCTTAACATACTTCTTTTGAATCCCTTTATCTTATCTGTATGACTTAATTAGCCATACTAAAAGTGGGCAGAGGAGATAATTTAATCTCTATTACTGGGATCAGTGTGTTCTGTCATAAAAGTACATAACGCTCTTTGCTCTTCCTTTCCCAACTTTACTCTAGGCACGGCCCATTAGTGTAATTAGCAGTATTTGCTGTTGTGATTCAGTGAGCCTGTTTTTTCCCCTGAAAAACCAGGAGCCACTGTGGCATCTACACCCCAACTCCTACTCCATTCAGTTTTTCATTGCAGACTCCCCACAGTCTCTTTCAAGTGTGGGCACTGAGTTTAGGCTGAGATGCTTCATCTAGAAGCAAGGATTTTCTAGGGTGCAACACGCAGGAGATAGAGGTCCTCATGGTTACATCTCTGGAGCTCAAGTAGTACGTTCCAAGTCAAGGTTCAGAAATATCTTGTATATCTAGGGCAAAGTAGGCATAACTGACTGGTGCCAGTCTTCAACTGTTGAAACTACTGCAAGAGCACTGACCCTCTTTATTGGGAGGCTTTTCTCAGCTGGAGTTTTTAGTAGACAAATATAATTCTTCGTTCTGGACTCCATTTTGAGAAGGGGCTTGAGAGATGATGCTGGTACTTGAAGATTCATGGGAGTTTGATTT